TGACCCCCAACCTAAAGGAGATTTTGAGGGGGCCCCATAGCAAAATCAGTGCAATGGACCCAGAATTCCTAGCGACACCACTGGGAGGGCAAAGAACTTGCTGGCTTGACCCAAATAGATACTAATATGAACATTAAACAGTTGAAAGAAGCAGTGCTCGACAGGAAAGCATGAAAAATATTACTCCATAAGGTCGCCGAGAGTCGGATACAACTGAATGGACAGATCATCATAATTACTTAATTTGCAATGCATGTTGTGAACTCAAGCAGGCCTACAGCATCTATTACAACTCTGTGGTCCGATCAGTCCTCTGCTGGTGCCTTATATGTATATTAAATAAAAGACTTCAATCGTTCTCATGTTGAACATGTGAAAATGAGTGTAAAATCGCAAATTCTATTTCTCAGAACAATTTCCCTTTTACACAGCAAACTGCAATGCCAAAGTAACAACTTATTGTGTTAATCCAAGCACTCTGAATTTACTTCAATCAAGTTAGAAAAAAAACTTGAAGAGGATAGTGATGAAGTCAAATGGACTGAAACAAACATGTATAACATGACTTGTCACTAACATTTTTGACATTTATACCTGATGTTATGACATTCAACTTTTATAGTAAAGCATTATGCATTGCTCTAAAGCATTAGTCTTGAACTGAAATGATGGCATCACCAAGGTACAGTATTCAGTTCCTTGCTTTTTACTCTTTACCAGCCAAAGAAAAAAAATGCCCATGACATCATTCTCTGTAAAAACCTTTTGACATTATAAAGGGAAATTCATGCTGTTTGCAATAGATAATATAGGCTATGTGGGATAGTAGGCTATGCATAAGCCTATATCCCAAATAAGAATAAACACTACCCATTCATTCCTGCACCTCAAGATGTTTAAAGTTTATTAAACGAATCATCATACATGTGAAAAATCTGTCTAATTCGAGGCCACCTACATTTGTTTTCAAAGTGACGTCCTCATTATGACATTACATCACAATGGGCTGAATGTAAATTGCATTATTCAATCCACATCAGAACAAAGGCAGTCACCCGATCTGTGCGACCCGAGGGTAAACTATCTGATTACCCTATGACATAGGCCTATCGCATATCTCTCACTGCACATCTAACAGCGTGTGTGTGTTTACCATGCCTTAAATATTGCTTGCCAGTACTTTATATGTTACGTAATCAACAAGTGTGCGAATTATACTCTGCAATGTAATACTCAGATCACAAAACGTTAAAGGGAATATCGCACAGCCCAAAATATAATTTGCCTTCACTGCTACAGTATAGGCCTACTTTTTTTTACGTTTCTGCTGTATGTAAATCTATAATGTTACACATTTTGAAATAATTAAAATGTATTTGTCACGTACTGGACGTGCTCAAGCTGCGTACTGTTGCTATGGTTACCTCCTCAGACGAAAGCAATTTCTGTTTGTGACAAGTGATAATCTATGCACTCGATAACCCCTAAACTTTTGTGCATCCTGAAACGTTGTATATCAAGCTGTATGTACCTTAAATATTGCTTGCCAGTACTTTATATGTTACGTAATCAACAAGTGTGCGAATTATACTCTGCAATGTAATACTCAGATCACAAAACGTTAAAGGGAATATCGCACAGCCCAAAATATAATTTGCCTTCACTGCTACAGTATAGGCCTACTTTTTTTTTTACGTTTCTGCTGTATGTAAATCTATAATGTCACACATTTTGAAATAATTAAAATGTATTTGTCACGTACTGGACGTGCTCAAGCTGCGTACTGTTGCTATGGTTACCTCCTCAGACGAAAGCAACTTCTGTTTGTGATAAGTGATAATCTATGCACTCGATAACCCCTAAACTTTTGTGAATCCTGAAACGTTGTATATCAAGCTGTATGTAAAATATAATACGTGGGCCACAACCTTTTGTTTTGACTTTTAGGAGGCCTTAATTAGCGGGTCAATATATTCCATATAGCGGGTATTGGTTTCTGGCTCAACTGTGAGGGCACAATCGATTCAAATGTCAAGCTTTATCGAAGCTTGCGCAGTCAGGTAGTATTTTAACACATCGATGATTTGGATGCCATGACTTCTATAACCGTATTATTGAAGTGTTGTAGCTGTTATCTTCATTTCTCATGGCAGAGCGGTTTAATTAATCAAATGCTTCTTAAACTGGCCTGCTATTTAGCCTATATGATAGTCTAAAAAGCCTAAAGACCAGCGTAGACATGAGAAGACTTCGTATTCATCTCTTTCAGGTCAGGCAGAGAATTAACGAGAATTAAAAATATATAATTTCATCTGAGTTCATCTCATCTCCAAACGCGTGACTCCATTTCCCTTTCATTTCTGCCATCAGTTTAATCCGCCCGTATGAATTCATGGATAAAACCCCATGGATTTACGGCGACATCCACTAATATAAAGGTTAATCAAATAAATAGCAACTCGCATTTTGCCGGAAATTAATCACTTTTAATTCAAAATAATCATAACTGATTTGACAAGAACACGACGGTTTGTTCATCCCTCAAAGCGTGTCTTGTCTTAAAAAATAGCTTTTTGAAAACGGGGAAGCGTTTGATAAATAGCAATAGGCGAATATGCGAATAAAATTATGGCTTTGTCAGCCCGTACAGCGAAGAGTGCAGAAAGCGAAACAGTAAATATTGTATGAGCATGTGTGATCCACAACTGTACTTTACACACTCTAAAAGTATTGCAGCGGAAAAAAACTTCACCGACGTCGCCAAACGACAACTTTGAATTTAATTCATTAAATCACGTCCAGGTGCAGCGAAAGAAACGAAAACTGGATGCGTAACCAGTGCGGTTTTATTTTTTCCTTCTTCAAAGATTTTGCATGGCAGTTTTAACACACCTTACCCCGCCATGTTGAAAGTGGATCTGACACATGAGGAACGAGGATTTCGGCGCATATTCTGCGCACCTGAATCACGTACACCGACCGGTTCGTAACGTTCAAAAACCTTGATATAAACACCGCACGAAAATGTAAACTTAAGTGTTGATATTTACGCCTGAACGTTGTGTCCTTTGAAAACGAAAGGAGGTCAAATGGCAGTCTGAAGATAAAGTCATAGTAACAGAGCGAGAGTCGCTTTGAGGAAGAGCACGGCACGAAAATATCGCTTGTTACATAAACGTTATTTTTCAGCGACATTTCCAGCGCGCGTCTCTTCGGATCGTAAATATATTTATCGGCAGAATCGAAAGTGCGGTCCCTCGACGTTCGTGTTATGTATAAATAAGGTTACTTTATTTTTCGGACCGTTTTGTCAACTCATACGCAGACGCTTCTGTATATTTCTGACTGTTACGAACAACCTCCAAATGTTTTTAACGAGGAAAAAGCGCCTGTACGCGGAAATTCGCGCAAAGAAGCACGAGTCCGTGTCAGTCACGATCACTATTACGGAATGAAGTTCATGCTGGTAATGTAGTTTTTACCTTATGCGAGTTTTTGCCGTCTATCTGAATTGAGTGATCTGGTGTTCTGGTTGAAGCAGGAGCGGTGTGTGTATGTGTGTGTCCAATATGGCATCATCCTGCATCTGCGCATGTCTCAACATCTACAGATTATTTTCAAGCCGACTCCTTCATTGACCTTTACAGTTGCAAAATTTGTTCAGTCCATTATAAATAGAAATGGGCCCGGGCCTCCGCCTCCCTAGTGTGGGGAAATTCATGGCTTGTGTCTTAAAACCTTGCGAGCCGCCTGCATGGACAGTATTGGGTATTCATAAGCGCGTGCAGCACTTTTGGGCATCATTGACGCATGCATCGTTTTTGGGCGCTTTCGACATTTTGATGGCCAAAACTGCTGGGCAGGAACACGGTGAAAATGCTCATAAAGTGCTCTCTATGTAGGTAACTCACTAGGGTTTGATACACAGACAGTGTAAACAAGAGGGGGCTGCTGTTGCAACCTCACTTGTTTTTCATCTCGATCATCTATTCGATTATTTCTTCACTCTTACGCAAAAACCATTTGACCGTTTTACATTTGGAGTGTCTTTTTACTTCCATGTTTGTAAGTATAATTCAAAGTGATGCTTTATATTAAAACAAAAAAAGAAAGAAAGAAAGAAAAAAATGAACATTTTCATAGAATTTCAGTTTGTCGTTTTTCCCCCTTCTAAAGTACAGGGAGGGGAAAGAGTTAAGGTCATGTTTTCAGTTTAAAGTCATTAAAGTTCATGAGAGTCATGATAGTAATCATCAAAACAACATAAAGTAAATATAACTTTCATTTACAAAACTATGACTATGTATATGACAATGTAGGCTACATTGTTAAAAAGTTATAACAATCTTAATGGTCTATTTCAACCTCATCTTAAAACGTGAGTTGTGTAATAATTTTTCACTTGAATTTACTTGAAGCCATTAATTTAGAAGCCGTTATGTTACCTGGCAAATATATATTTTACAGTGTACATTCATCACAGCTTTATGTAATAAATATTACAGTGTATCTAATTGCAAATTAAAGTGTTAAATTATTTCCACTTTTCGAAATTGCAATCCTATTTCAGATTTACAAATTCAGTGCTCATCTTGTCCTCCATTGCCATCCTGTGGTAACAGTATTCATTGCTGTACTGAATTTAAATTGACATCAATATGATACTTTACAGTTTACAGCTCACTGTAAAGTACTACTCCTCCAGAGCAAAGAAGAAGAAGAAAAAAATATTTCTCAAAAATGTTCTCATTAGCATCAGTGCAGAAGTAAGTTTATCAGGAAACTCCCATCAACACTCTAAACCACTCACACATTCAGGTCACTATGTGCACAAACAAGGTGAAATTCCTTGTCCAGCAACAGCCAAAAAGAAAAAAATAAGCGCAGGCTTCCACTTAGTGATGTTACAGTAACAGATGGTTCATGCCTTGAGCTTAATCTACAAGAGGAGACTGTGACAAGCACGTCCAGGGACAGATTACCACTGCTGGAGCAGCAACCTTGCGAGAGGAGATAGACAATGTGCGTCTATACTTTATCCTCTTCATGCTGTGGCATAGTACTGAAAGTTTTGCCTAGGGAAATTAGCTCTGGACATTATCTGGTAGCTCATAATTTGGTATACAGGCCTTCAGAAAAGTATTCCATAGCACATTATAGACCGAATTTACAATGATTTTCAAAATGTCAGGTTCCAGATTTATAACTACACTGTAAAAATGTGCAGTTGTTACCTGACAAGTCCCTTAAAATGATTTTTTTTATCTGTGGAACCTGATCAGATTGATTAAGATTTGGTTAACAGTTCATTTAGACGTTACCATGAAACACATTTAAAGGTTACCTGACAACATCTTTCTATGTATGTTTGTAGCCACTTTACTTTGATGTATTTTATATGATCACCCCCATTAAAATCAGTATTTAGTAGTTTGCAGTTTCCATGTCCTGTCTACAAGGTGGTAGACAGGACACATCATTAATACAACAAAGGCAGCTATTATTATACACACAGTCTAGTTTTTTCATGTTTGAGCACTTCTCTGACCGTAGGCTACCTCTTTCAGCTGGATACCAGTAGTCTCTGTGGAGGGAGGAGTCACTCCCATAATGCAATGAGGGCATGTGCCTACTGTTAGTCATGAGACACATGGGTTGTAAGCAATATATGTGCATATGTATTTCATAATATACATACACTAACAGTCAGTAAGATTTTTTTTTTTTTTTGAAAGAGACAATCTAAAAATGTTTAAATGATTACTTTTATTCAGCAAGGATGTTGAATTGATAAAAAGTGACAGTAAATACCTGCACATTTATAATGTTACAAAATATTTCTATTATCAAATAATCCTTAGAAAAGGTATCAGTTTCTACAAAAATATAATGCAGCACAACTATTTCCAACATTTGTAATATTAATAAACCACCAAATAAGCATTTAGATTTCTGAAGGATCATGTGACTCTGAAGACTGGAGTATTGGCTGCTGGAAATTCAGCTTTGCATCACATGGATAAATTACATTTAAAAAAAAAATAAAAAAAATAAAAAAATATATATATAAACAGCTATTTTACATTGTAGTTTAATTCTAACAAGTTCTGTCTGTGTTTGTTATGTTGACTAGTTTGAAGTCTTGTGCCTTCAGTTCCTGTTTCCCTCTTATTAGTTAGTCTTTGTTACCCCTTTGTGTATAAGCTCTAGTGTTTCCTGTGGTTATGTTCATGTCATGTCCATTTGTGTTGTTGGCTTGCTCAGTTTTGTTCATTTGTTCCTTGGATTTCTGTTTCTTGTATTTTGCAAGAGCTTGTAACACTCTAAAGAGAAAGGAAAATATGAAATCGCATCATATGACCCCTTTAAGAAATTATGATCTGCAATCAGATCCTGCTCTTTCTTGTTCCTGGGTTACCAAATGTTACAGAGGACTTGTCCACTAGCCATGGATCCAGCACTGGTGGTCTCAGTGCTCCCTAACTTGTGGTTCTAACGCTCCCTAATCTGGCAGTTGTCCCAACTTTCCCTAGCTCGATGGTGCCAGCACTCCCTAGACCAGTGGTCCCAAGTCTGGTGATCTCAGTGCCATGGTGGTCTCTGCTTCAGTGGTCCCAGAGGTTCCAAGCATGGCAGTCCTTGCTCCGGTGGTCACGGAGCTGCTATTATTGTCATCTTTTTCTTTATAATCTTGTACCCCTTATTAGTTCCTTATTATTTCCTCATTGTTTCCACTTGTGTCTTGTTATCCTTGTTACCCCTGTGCATAAGCTTTAGTGTTTCCTGTGGTTATGGCCAGGTGTTGTCTCTCTGTGTATGTTTTGTTGGCTTGCTCAGTTTTGTTTTTTTGTGTCCGGGATTTCTGTCCCTTGTATTTCATAATGTTATTTTAAAAATCATAATCAGCAATTGGATCCTGCTCTTATGTGTCTATGAGTTGCCAAATGTTACAGTAATAACATTTCACAGTATTACTGTTTTTACTGTATTTTTGATCAAATAAATGTAGACTGGGTGAGCATAAGAGACTTTTTAATGGTAGTGTAAATACATACTTAAAAAGTGTATAATGTATGCAAAATAAACAGACACACCTATACAGCAAGCTACATTGAACAAAGCTCGACAAGAGTTCAAAATAAAAGGCATGACATAAGGACCTGACTTCAAAACATGAAACAAACTAAATCTGCTGTGATAACAGCTCCTAAATATAGTAAAGTCAACCATAGTGAAAAACATGCCACACAATATCTGTTGAACAAATGGTTTACATAGTCAATGCTATTGATTGTAAACTTGTGCGATTTCCTACTGATTTACCATGGTATCATTTTTATAAGCAATAAACCAAATACAGTTTGTAGTTGCTGATTAATGCACCTCATTGTGTTTATATGTCCTATAAAACGTTTTTTTTTTCTTTAAAGTCAAATGTAATTTCTTCTGTTTGACACGTTTCAGCTGTGCTCCTATGTTCCTGCTCATTGTTGCATTGCATGACTTAATGTCTTTAGAGTTATGGATCATTGAAGCTGAAAAAAAAAAACAAGCAGTCCCACCCCACTACACTCCTTTTACTGTGTGTCACGGCTGAGAAGTGGCTTAAAAAAGGCTGAGCAACACTCAGTGCTCTGTGGTAACTTCTGATAAACAACTGTATTTTTCAGTGTTTTTTTGAATGGTTTATTTTTTACAAGGTCCAAGAGCTCAGCAGATTCGTCACACAAGTACACTAACATACATTGGAATTGATTAGAACAATTGATTTCCCTATTCCAAGAGGTCCATCAATAACTTCTGTTTTTTTTTTTTTTTACTTTGGTTTAAAATACTTGTGGTGATTATTTTTCCTTTTTTATTACAATAATGAGAAATAATAAAGACTATACACCTTTTTCTCATATTCTCAGATAAGTTTACTTTTGAAAACTGATGTAAGATGACCCTCTACCTGCTGCAATAAGCCCCCCAGGGTAAGCATCCTAGCTGTCATACGATTTTTTTTTTTTCTTCAGAAAATATTTTTCAGAATGTATAAAATACATCTCATTGTACTCTATATAATATAATATAATTCCAGTAAATAATAAAAAAAAGTAGTTTGACCTGGTAAATGTGCCTTCACATCAGCACATGAGTGTTTGGGGGACAAAGGGCTGCAGGAGATTTCAGCAGCAGGAGGTGACGTCAGCAAGCCGTTTTCCCCCTTGTTGACTCAATAACAACAAGAAAGAAAGAAGGAAAGAAAGTGACCTGAGAGAAATGCGCTATCTTATGCCACATCGCTCAATTTCAACACGACTGCAACAGCTCCAGTGTTGTATATGCGGTCTCTCGGTTCATCGGTCTGTCGTACAAATTTCTTCGTCTTCTGGCCAGTGAAGTTAAACGGAAAATCTGTTTAAGTCGTTTGCGCGAAGGGTCTTATGACTCTTCTTTGGATTTCTACACGTAAACATGTTTGTTTTTTGGAAAAGTAGCAGTAATATGAGTGATCTGGTGAGTCCGGAGTATCAGGGTTGCGTGGACGGATCTCTGATGAACGGATTCAGTGTTTTTATTCAGGGTCTGTTGGCTGTTCTGGCTTTCAGCACGTTAATGTGTAAGTTTATTTCCCTTTTTAAACCAAACCGCAAATGAAACGATGTTTATGTGTGATGTGAACGTGTTTTCTATTTTTTTTTTCCGATTACGGATATGATGTGGCACGTGGCTTGGGGTTTGTTTGTTTACAGTCTTAGCTTTTGTAGTATATGGAGGTACTATGGCACAGTGATGTGTGAAATGGTGCTTTGAATTTATACTTGGTATTGGTACTAAATGATTAGCATATTTATATACCATGGTATTTACATAGTACTCCAAAAATAAATAAATAAGTACAAACAATATTTTATTTAATGAGCATATATGAAACCTACATAAGTGCTTTCAGACCATGTTTACTGTCTAGTGTACACTGTAAAGTACATGACAACTGTAGTAGTTACTTGCACTTGACCCTTAAAATGACATTTGTTGATGGTTTAATTTGTCATAATATTTAAAAAAACTGATACATATTTAGAGACCGATCACAGAAAGCAGTATCTGCCGATACGATCACCGATACCGATCTTTTTAAAGCCTTATTTTTATCATGTGGAATTATTTATAGTAAGACAATCAGAGCAGACTGCACTTGTCGGAAGGAGGGACTTTGTAGAAAACGAAGCGTTTGAGAGAGGCGGGGCATAGAGGACCTACAATAATGTACAGTATTTGAAAAATAATGTGTTTTTTGAACATTAAAGCATGTCAACATATTCTGTTACACCAAATACACAAAATAATGATCTTTAAAAAAGCATCATATGACCCCTTTAAAATCCGTTAACATGAGCGTGGAAAAAAATATGCACCGCATACGCACTGCAAACGAAGAATGTGTGAACCTGGCATTATGTGTGTGCGCTTCGAGTGTGCATGAGCGCTCAGTCTCCAGGAGAGCGCGTGAGCGTTGAATGGTTTAAAGGGGTCATATGATGCGATTTCAATTTTTCCTTTCTCTTTGGAGTGTTACAAGCTCTTGGTGCATAAAGAAGATCTGTAAAGTTGCAAAGACTAAAGTCTCAAATCCAAAGAGATATTCTTTATATAAGTTAAGAGTCAACCACGCCTACCTAAAACGGCTCGTTCTAACACACCCCCACATACCTACGTCACGATCTCGGAAGATTTGCATAACGCCGCCCAAACGTTCACGCAAAGAAAGAAGGCGTAACTTATATTCTCGCTGTAGTATTGTTG